AACACAGAAACACTAAAGTATATCAGTTTAAGAGCAAGGGTTTTTGACTTGCTACGGATTAATTTTGAGATGAACTAAGAACAAATTTTGATTCCGGTTTTGATTGAGTGTAATTTTTAGGGTTTACTAAAATTTCGCACTAATGATGGATCACAGTGCGAGCCGTGGTTATGAATGTTTACAAATTTCTTTCGTATTGTAGCAAGGCTTTGGGAGTGTCAGCAGTTAAACACCACCAAAGAGATAAAATCTATAGGTAATGTCTTGAATGATCAACGATATGAACTACTTCGACATATGAAGAGGTCAAAAAACATCAGTTAGAAGAAGCCAGAACTCATGACTAAAGGACATTAGGAGGCGGTGTCGGCTTTTTGTCGTCGCGTGGAAAGGGAAGTCTCTCCATGATTTTCATCCTACCAAGTGTAGCACCAAAAGCGTAGATCTTGAGTTAGCTAGAAATGTAGGTCTAGGATAGGCCAAATTAGTGTAAAGCCGCGTACAGACCGAGATTCCAATGCAAGCCAAGGCACATGTGGTTACAGATTTGGAAGTATTCGAATCGGTGTGTACGGCGCGAGCCAACATAAGCTAACGGTTTCCAAGGTCGGCGTTGGCGTTCGATTGCATTCGCTCATTGCTCGGTACATCAAAGGGAGGTTTGATTTGGTCTGGACAGGATTTGTTGCATTTCAAGTATTTAGTCGTTCGTCTGCATTCGATAAGAGGAGACTCGTCGCTCGACATTAGCACCGAACTTAACCCAACGCGGTCCAACTCGAAACTAAATTTAGGTGTAGACGACCGCATTCCAAAACCTTCCAACAACAAACGCCAACGTCACATGTGCTTGCATTCTTTTGCTTGGCGTTGGATTTTCGGTCTGCACGCGGCTTAAGCCATAGGTCATAGATTAGGGTTTGATGCAGCTTAAGACTAGTAGTAGCTATGTTTTGGTTAAGCTAAAGCTAGAGGCACGAAGACTTGGCTAGGGCGCACCTAATAATTTTGCCTAATTAGGTATACACATAATTAAGTTCTAATTTATGTAGCCGGAAGAAGAAAATTAATACGTGTTGCCTATGTGTAGAATAAAAAGAGAGTGGGTAGAAGAAATGGAAAATCCTCCCATACGCAAATGTTGTTATCAAGGTCACGGAGTTTTGGTATCGGCGGCAAGTATGCACAGATCCAGATTAGATCCAGCCTCGAGTGCTGCTCATTCATGTTTGGATTGCTGCCGCCCCGAGACATTATACATGCTCGATGCTGTTCAGAGGAGCGCTGTCCGACTTTTCTCTAAAGGACTGTCTCGGGACCCTTTCGGATCGACGAGCCGTCGGCGAGGTAGCTCTCTACTAACATTAGGCGGTTCAAAATTCGGATTAACAGAGTTTCTTTAAGCTTCCGATAGCATCAGCGGTGCCTTGGTATTTAGGCTTCTGCCTGAGTGGCTGCTTCGGTATAAAAAAAATCGAAACTATAATTTCCATCCGAATGACTTCCCATCGGTAGGAGATGGTGCAATAAGTAGTAGAAGACTATTATGTAGGAATACTTGATCCCCACGGACGTCACTGTGTGCATATCTTGATGCCACAAGACCTCTTGACAACTTATTAACGCGGGAATATCGTTGCGGCGCGATGGAGGCGGTGAAGGCGGCACATCAACTCGTGAACGCTGCGATAACTTCCATATATCTTGCGCTTGATAATGGTTGTGTCTCAGACGAAGACTCCGCTTCCAAACTTTACGCCATCATATCCTATTTAATATATCGCTGAAGAGCGTCAATTGTCTGCAGCTTGCTGGGATTTAATTATAGCAGACTCTATCATATCGTTACGCTTTTTTAGGCGAATCTTTCAGAGCATTTATCAAGTTTCGGGACCCTTTCGCACCGATGGGCCGTCGGCGATCTAGCTCTGTTCTACCCCTATGTCAACGGGTTTTGGTCCTCGAAGCTCACCTCCATGATTTCGCCGCGCGATGTGCCTGCCAGAGAGACCCGCATGACTTCGGCTCCCCATCCTAAACATACTGAACTCCGTAAATCCAGAACTGGCCGATACAACCGCTGCTTTGTCGCTAGGATATCGAAATTTTGGAACAATCTTACCTGCGGAGGTTTTTTACAGATCTATTGACCGTTCAAAAATTGGAATAACAAAGTTTCTTTGAGATCATAATAGCCGCTGGGCACTAGTATTTAGGCTTCTGCCTACGCGACTGCTTCGGTATAAAAAAAGCCGAAAAGCTTGATGGAACTGCTTTATTTTCTTGTCAGACGTTTCTGAAAGTATTTTATTCCCAGTAGTAGAGCTGAGGGGTTCTAAAAAGATAGGTTCCTTTGAAGTTGAGAGCTCTTTTCTGATTAACTTTTTGACATAAGGTTAGTTGCGCACATACATTTTACTTCCATATGTAAATCTTGAGTTCTGCCGATTCGCGTGTCCTCTGTAATTCTTGGCTCCTCCACAGCTCGGATAGTATTTAAGGCAAAGAACGTGCATTTTGAAAACCATTCAGTAGCGGCGGAGTTAGAAGCATTGTGTTATTGGTTTTACATGATAATTTAAGTATTATATGAATGTTTTATTTATATTGTGATATATATTTTACCAATATAATTTAATGAAGTATATCATTATACTTAGACATAATACATTGCCATTATAAAGTTATCCCTTTTGAAAAATTAATAATAGATAAGTTGAAAGGTTCTAAATAACGTAAGACTTAATCATTGCAAAGGCGCTTGTAGCTTTTCAAACTAAAATTTCTTTAGAGCTCCAAATAAAGGTACTTATTTTTTTATTGAAGTAAATTGGTTTCAAATAATACATATGTGCATCAGTGTTATATTAAGTTTTTATACATAAAATACGTGATGAACAGGAAAAGATATTTATAATTTTGAATAAAATGTTATGTTTAAATGGTTTTTCAATCTTTTTTATGGGTAGGTGTTAATAAAATTATATTTTGTATTGTTAAAGAGTTTTATTGAGTTTATTATATATACAATTTTCATCATTTTTCACTAGGTACCAAATTCTGGATTTTTCATGTATATCTCCATTCAACAACCGGATTTTAAAATTCATTTCACACCTAACAAAAAGATGCTTGGCATTTGCATTTACACTAACTGGCGTGGCTAAAATAACGATTCTAAATAATTTTTGACCAATTTTAGTGTCCCAGCGTTGAAATTTTTCAAAATATGGTTGTGTTAATTACATTTAATTAGAAAATCTGGGCTTGGTTTTTGTAAAAGGCATTGCAGTAGTCACTTTCCACAAAATGCTTCAAACATATCCTTGCGTCTTGTACATTAAGTTTGTGTTGCTGATATCACTTCAGAACCCATTGTTCCCAAACTTGTTTCTTCTTTGGAAAACTGAAGAAACGCTAATATGAAACGTCTTTGCTTTTCTTGTTGTTGTTGCTTGAATAACCCAGCACTGCACAGTACCCCATTGTTAATCTGTTTCTTAATTATATTTCACACAGAAACTTATTCGAAACACATCAGAAAATCATCTAATGAAACTAATCAAATTACATCTTAAAGGGCCATGTAAAACTGTAAGTTTGTCAACCGTCTCTGGGGATTTTTGACACCGAGTGACGTTACGCGTGCGAATGATATAGACTAATCGCATGCGCGTGGGATTATCTTCTCGAGTAATAGTATTATCCGTAATAATATGTGAGAATTCCTAGCCGAATTTTTTAGAAGGAATGCATTCTTTGTAACCGATGGTCTGCTGCTTCTTTTGAAAACTGAGCAAAATATTTTTGTTACTATTTGACAGCTATAATAATTATCTTTAAGATCTCTGACCTTGCGCCATTGTTAAAGTTTTATTTTCTTGAAAAATTACAATCAGATACTGACACGGACGTATCGGCAATATTCAAAATACTAATCATATATTATTATTCCAAATTAAATAAGGTATGGTCATCCATCGAATAAACAATTCAAGAAGTATCTGGCATTGACCTCTTACGTGATTCTTGGCCAGTGCCAAAACAATTCTTCAGCGTACGTGATTCATGCCTTGCGTTTCCCAGAATGGTAATTGCATCTTTAGTTTTCTAATTTTGGACATTTAAATATCAAAGAAGTGTTGATATTGCTTTAGGGTTGGTCAAAATCAGAAAAATCGGGAAAGCCATGTTCTCGACATCGCATTGTACTTTGAATTACATGAAAAAACGTTCCCAAAATAATTTTAAAATCACTCCATAATATATGGGGGATATTATTTCTATTTCTACTCATTTAAAAATCAGATGTGATATATTTTTTTCACCGTGTCGTATTTTTTATCTAATGATGAATATATAGTTGAATCTGAACTTGAATAGGGCCAGACGGCACCTCTAAAACTAAACTAAAGCAACTTTATTCTATGGTGTAGGCAGAAGAGGTTCGCTGTTGACCTCTGTCACGATATCTGTGGTTATGTTGATGTATGAAAAATTACAAATTTTGCTTTCACTTTATAGAATGTGAATTACTTTAACACATCATATTCTGATCCGCCAATAATGTTGAATCAAAAAACGTCATCACCAGAGACAACGTTGAAAGGCGTAGACAAGTGACAAATTCAAACATGACTGTAAATATTCTGATGAAGCAAAAACGTTGAAATAAGTATCTTTTTCCATTGGAATGCCATCCAAATAAAAGCTCCGAAGGCAGATTTTTCATACGATTGAAAACAGAACGACGAAACACATACTGAGGTGACTCCTCTGGAAAACACAAAAGTAAAACTGAAATTATACTTCCAACTTGATAATGAAGCTGTTGAATGTCATCCTATCTATGTCAAAGAATACCACAAATAGGATGATAACAGTTACACGTCCTTTCTATGTATTTTTCCAAATCCAATGTCATCATACTCAAACCATTTTCACAACCAAATCACGTAGTCACTAACAGTGGACAATGTCGTCTCCGAAGAAATATAAAAGCACCTTAACGGCTGATAATAATCAGTTGTTAATTGTCTCTATTAGAAGACGTTCGGGTACAAGCAGCAGTAAAAATGAAGGTATGTCTACTGTACGAGTAAATGACCCTTTATTCTTGCGTATAAAATTGGTAGTGACTATGGGTAACAAAGTGTAGAAATTGCCGTGACAGTTTCAGTTTGATGTATGCGGGTCATTATGTGAAGATTGTTGTAAGAAATTGTTTTTAAATGGCTGAACTGATAATATGTCAACATTTTCGTTTCGTTAGTTTCAATATTGGTCGAGTTATATCCGCATCAGGGAATGTGTCACTCGTTCGTATCAATCTGTTTGCCATTTTCTTACATCGCGTAATATTTCAAATGTTCATTTTTCTTGAAAGTTGAAAAGTGACAGGAGGATATGTATACAGATATTACAGACGAAAATACTGTCTTACTTTTTTGAACATGATAAAAAAGCAAAATTCAATGCTCCGAAATGGTTTTTTTGGATGTGCTTCTGTCTTATTTGTGATGAATCTTTGGCTAAATACCATTTGGACTTTTATGAAAATGTTCATTTAGGGTTACTTTACGCCAAAGATGAAGCAGCTACGTTAGTTAGTTTGGAGCGTCACGACAAAATATTAAGGACCTTGCAAATTTTGAAATCAGGCTGTTATTTTTGCAAGTTGCAGGGATCACCGATCATACTTAAAACTACTACGGACTCAACATTTCCCAAAACCTCAATCCATTGAACTATCTTGAATGCATTTGACATTTCGGCAGAGTTTCAAACAGTTGAGCTGTTTGAATATTCAAATCCTTAGCCTTGATTTTGAAGCTATGCCGAAATGACAAGTGGATTCAAGATACATATGTGCGTAGTTAGAAAATATATTAAGTGGAGTGAGGTTCTGGATGTTTTTCATGTCTGCATGGTCACACACACAATATTATTGAACGCCTTAGGCATGGAGATGTGCCAACAACGTGTGCATACCTCATATGACAGGAGTCATTGCATGGCGATATTCATCAATTGAGTAAAAGCAATTTATTTTCAATAAATCCTTGGTTTTTACTTTAAATTTTCTAAATATTAAAGTGTCCAAACATCAAGCGGAATATTATATAAATTGAAATTAGACGAGTTCTTCTGTGATAAAGTCACGCGGTACCTAGGATTTTTTAGGTGATGGGCGTTTCTTGTATTGTACTCCTGGTAGTGAGAATGTGTTAAATATTTATGTTTATTTTTATGGATGTCCAGCACGGTGTGGAAAATAAACATACAAGGAAGTGACGAGATGCTGATTTTTTTAAAAAGTGGCCTGCATTGTACAGAATATTTTAGAACTTAAGGAGTTAGGCGTGACATTCCATGTAACTTAAGGGAAAATACTTCAGGTTGAAGCAGATAGATAGATTTGTCATTCTGAAGTAATTATAAGATCAAAATATTATTTTGCTTACTTTATATTCATTTTGACAAAATAATAAGATCTATCAATTATCTTTAACTCCTGATATAAGTAGCAATCTGCGAGTATGGGACAAGCATCTTTTTCGGACTAATCTAGGTTAACAAATGAAATGCAAAGTCATTTCTATGAATGATATATATCTAACACTAAATTTATTGTTTGTTATCCCAAAAGATTGTCGTGGTCTTATCGACAAGTCAGACGGAAAATGGCATATTATCCTATTCGCCTAAACATTATTAGACATATATTATCGATTTGCTTACGCATTAGGGTGTATTTCAACCCTTTTACTGTATCTAACACTGAACTTGCGGATCACTTCCTTGATGGTAGATGGAGGTACGAGGGATGTCTTTTAAGTTTTGCATATAGAAACATACTAGACCGCGCGGATCGAACGACAGTACTGAATCTTAACCTCACTCTTTAGTAAACTTAAATTCAAAGTTTCAGAACAATACAGCGAATTTTTAATTGTCACCAAATCATTAGAAAAATGGAACTCAACCGAGAACATTTTCGCGCCATAATTTATTACAACTTTCAGAGACAATTATCGCAACAAGAATGCCTTGCTGAGTTACTGTCTGTTTTCGGCAACGAAGCGCCAGATCAGTCGACAATTTCCCGTTGGTAAGGACAATTCAAACGTGGACGGGTGAGTCTTAGCGACGATCCCAGGGTGGGTGCACCAAAACGGCAGTCACCCAGGAAAACGTCGATGCTGTGCGCAAACTCATCATTGAAGATAGACATGTGACATGTCGCGAGATTGAGGCGTCCTTGAAGATCTCAAAGACCTCAATTCAAAAAAATGTACATGAAGAATTAGGAGTAAGAAAATTAGTTTCTCGTTTGATACCCCACCTGTTGATTGAAGAGCAGAAAGCAGCCGGGGTTAATTGGTGTCAAAAAACGCTTGACCGTTTCAATTCCGGAAACTCAAAAAATGTGTACAGCATTGTTAGTGATGATGAATTGTGGATTTACTGTTATGAACCAGAAAATAAACGACAGTCGGCTGTTTGGGTGTTCCAAGGTGAAGAAAAGCCAACAAAAGTCATCCGTTCTCGAAGTGTTTCGAAAAAGATGGTCGCGACATTTGTGTCAATGGCGGGTCATATTGCAACAATTCTTCTTAACGAGCAAAGAACTGTTACTCCGGATTGGTATACCACCATTTATTTGCCAAAAGTCATCACCGAGCTTCGAAAAATCAACCCCGAAAGAAGAATCATCCTCCACCAAGACAATGCAAGCTCGCACACAGCCCAAAAAACAAGGCAGTATTTAACTTAAGAAAACGTGGAATTATTGGACCATCCTCGATATAGTCTCGATCGCACACAGCCCAAAAAACAAGGCAACGGAAGAAAACGTGGAATTATTGGACCATCCTCCATATAGTCCCGATCTAAGTCCTAACGATTTCTTTACTTTCCCAAAAATTAAAAACATACTGCGTGGTCAAAGGTTCCAGTCACTAGTAGAAGCAGCTGACGCATTCAAAAATGCCGTTTTGGATCTGCCAGCAAACGAGTGGAATAAGTGCTTCGAAAATTAGTTCGAGCGCATGCAGATGTGTATTAATCTTCGTGCAGAATACTTCGAAAAACAATAAAGTCATTTGAAACTACCTACCGTGTTGTTTTATTTCCATATGCAAAACTTAAAAGACATCCCTCGTATGTCACGCTAAATCACTTCATTGAGAAGAAAGTATGGTGCATCGACGATCATTCTCTGGACCTTGCTCTGGAATTGCTGTTTCTCGCTGGATACCATAAGTCCATAATTATCTTTTCGTAGTATTCACAGAAACATCGTTCTATTTTTTAAAATTTCCCACAGGTAATCATCGCAACTTTCCTTCTGGCCTACACCACCATGTGCTTGGCCGAACCTCCAGCACCTGCAGCATCCGGCCCTTACCAGCCAAGGGGATGGCGTCCATCAGGTCCTGCCTTCAACTTGCCTGCCCGACAAACCAACGCATCCCCGATCCCACAGGAATACGGACCACCACAAACTACAACGTCGGAACCTGAAACTACTACTTTGCCTCCAGAAAATGAACTGTCCAAGTTGGAGTCAGAGGTAAGCACTTGGTCATCGCACTGTGTTATCACTAAACTTATGCATTTCAAAGACTAACATATATAATATTTGGGTATAAAGCTCAGCGTCAGCATATGGTTTCTGGATAAAAGTGACAACCTAGTTCTGTAAAAAAACGGTAGGTACTAGTAATATTGGAATTTCGTGTCTTTAAGAGACATGAATATTTTTATTTTGAGATCATGCTGGAAAAAAGCATTAAAACTGATAAGCGGGAATCAACTCCATACAGTTACAAAACTTCTTACTGAAAATAAACGAACACCTGCAAAAACAAGTCTAAGCACGTTAAGACTTCAACTACACATAACGTGGAAGATGCATGGAATGATCCTTTCATGTTCTCTGTGAATACTAAGTGCTAGAAAATAAAGGCAGACCAGAATCAATGGAGTCTCGTGTAATACCGGCAAGGAAACTGTGCCAATTAGTACAGAATTCAGGACTGCTAGATTGAGTACTGTACACTATGAATGAGATGCAATAAACATTAAAGGAGTGAGGACCTTCGGGTCAGGCGGGTCCCAAAGGGACAAAAACATGCAAGAGTTAGCTCTGCGTGAAGTATCACTTAGCTCAGTTTCTGTTTGTTATCGATTGAATTCCTTCTGATAGTTTTCAATTAATAGCCGTCTAGGCTAGGTTAAGCCTCACGCAGTGCTAACTCTTAGTAGCTAAATGTAATTGAACACAACCAGTGATTTTATTTATTCTAACAACCTTTGTGCTGCTTTTAGTAATTCCAAATTTTCATATCTAACTGAACCTTTGTAAATCTGTTTACAGCTTGAGGATTTATCACTTCTACAATTCATGTCAGTCGTATTTAGCGCAACCAATGGCGGAACTAATGCTACCCTGACGCTACTTTATTTTTTATTAAGTTGCTCGTTCATTGGTGGACGATAGTTCTGTTCGTTTTCAGACATTTTTTTGAGGGCCTAAAAAATCCTTTGGTATTGGTGAAAGAAGTTCTACTATTAAGAAGCTTCCGAGTCCGATAATACTACGTAAGAGCTACGCATATCTTCATATACATATTTGTTATTGAAACATAAATATGATTTATTATTTCTTTTCCATAGTTTGCGATGTAGATGTTTACGATACATTTGAGTCTTAGAAATATTCTTCACCCATACCCTATCTTAATTAACAAACTCTGAATATTTCATTGTTTTTGGAAACTTATTGACAACATCTAGGTTTTTACCTCCCATACCTCTGGCGAGGAAATATTGTAATCACGAGGAATTTCAAAAAGATACATTACGAAAAACCATGTCACTCATTTTCGTTGGTCTGTCTGTCTGTCTGTCGGTCTGTCCGCTGATCCTTGATTATAATAATAATAATGATAATAATAATAATAATAATAAGTTTATTGCAAAAGAAAAAGTATAGCAGTAGTAGATGAAAGACAATATTATACAATAAACGAATGGACCCAAAAAAGTTTTGCAAAAACTTGTGCTTGGGCATGAGCTCATGTATAAATAACTTAAGACTAAAAAAAACAAAACAAATATATATATATATATATATATATATATATATATATAAAATTTATTAGACAAGTCCTGGTAAAATTTTTAAAAAGACACAATCGGGACGGAGACGCAAAAATCGGGACGTAGACGCAATCGGGAAGAGACAATTTTGAAACAAAAGACAATATTAGGTGATTAGACAAGAACAAAAATTGGTAAAAATAAGTCATAAAATGCAATAATTCAGGAGATAAGAATTCAAATCAGTTTGATTTATACATTTTTTTTCATTTTGAAATTTCAATAATCTTGACAGATATATCCGCTTTCAGTAGTAGTAGATATTTTTGATATCAATCGCTTGATGAATCTTGAGCCTATGCTGGTCCAAAATCCACAGTCTTAGATGCTTTTTCATAACCTTTGTATTTTTAATATCTTTTATCTGAGGGGGGATTAAGTTATATATTTTTGGTGCTAGGAAAGTGAAACTCCTCTGACCAATGGCCTTTTTAGGCTTTGGTATGCGTACTGAATGATCTTTGGATCTGGTGTGATGGTCATGTGGGATGAAATTTAATAAATGCTTATGTTTTGTAATATATGTGAACACACTCTCAAAATAGAGTTGCCTACAATCACATATCTTGGATACCTTATATATCATATCGGTTGGATAGGTGTTAGTTTTGTGGAACATGATTTTAAGAATCCATTTCTGAGTTGTTTCTAGTTTCCTGTAGTATTTATTCAACACCGGTCCCCATGCCAAAATTCCATAAGTTAACAACGGTTGTACTAACGTTTTGTATATGGTGCATAAGTCTTTATCAGAGAGAATTTCCCTAAAAAATTTAAATTTTGGTATAAGACATCTTAATCTCTTCGTTAAGCTTTCTATTTGTTTGTCCCATTTTAGGTGGCTGTCTATTATGATTCCTAGGTATTTTATATGATTTGCTGGCTTTAGGACTACTACTTCATCTATGGGTGGTAATTTGATGTGTATGTTATTGAATATGGGACTGTTCCTATCATCACATGAAAAAGTCAGATATAAAGTTTTTTCATGATTGATTGTTAATATTTTATTATTGAAGAAGCTTATAATGACTCTGAAATCCTCTTCAATAAGAGTCTTTAAGATATTCCAAGATTTTTCGCTATAAAAAACAGCCGTATCATCTGCGAACCCGATAATTTTACTGTGTGTGTGTAGGTTAAAAAGGTCATTTACATATAGGTTCAACAGGATAGGTCCTAAGACTGTACCTTGTGGGATACCGTATGTTACATGGTGCAAGTCGCTGAGTAAAGTATGTGTTTTGCCACGAAATCCTAGATTCTCCAAAGTAATTAGTAATTCTTTGTGATTCCTCTATAACTTGGTAAGTACTTCTCGGATTTTGATAAAATTTTGAATCAAGATTACTACTATGCCAAGAACGAAAAAGTTTTTGAAAATCGGTCCAGTGGGGCGAGGTCACAGGCAAAACATGAACAAAAAAATACCCAAATACGCTAAATATATATATATATATATATATATATATATATATATATATTTATATTTATATATATATGGATGAATTTGCACTAAATGGAAAAAATATATCATAAGCCATAACGGAGGCATAGGAAACAACAACGGCAATAGGAACAATCTATATGACATCACTTTTTTCAGGCTGAAATGATTGAGCTACCAGAACCGAAAAAGCAGCAACCTGTTCAACCCAACCCAAGTCAAACCTACGTGGTAGTACCTCAACCCCAACAACTAGTCTACTACACTCCTGCAAGGCTGGTTTACCAACAAGCCCAACCAGCTAAACTGACTCAACCCAGTGGACCAAAACTTGTTCCCGTTCAAGCCATTCCAGCGCTTTCTAAGATCGTTGATCAAGCACCGGTTGTTCAACTTCAGGAAATTCAGGCTGTACCGGTTGTTAGTTATGCTTCGTCTTACACTCAGTCGCAGGTTGTCACGCCTTATAGTTCCTCGTATGTACAAGTTTTGCAGTAAACTATTGTGTTGTGATGTTAGATTCTGAGTACTCTTTCTTCCTCCTATGACTGGGTGATTACGAAACTGTTCTAGTTATCCAAAAAAATATACTAAATCGCTTCAAATTATAGCTGCCACATACTTTTCGTTCTTATGTATTTCTCCTAATCTGTAAATAAATTATTTATTTCTTGATTACTGTCTTTTCGTTACCAAATCTAACGTTGAAGTTTTAAATATTTATTCCATGTTTTTCATCCTGGAAAAACATGTGGCCAAGATACTAGGTAACAGAGTGCTTTGGAGACATAAATCGCAGCAAACTCTAGAGGTGAAACACTTATGGAATTCTTTATTCAGGCCCGGTTTTTCAGTCGCATGGAAAAGCTTTGTTCAAGGTCATGTTTATAATAAAGCGGCAGCTAACTTTAACCAGAAGACCATCTATGAGTTCACCAGAAAGGTTGTGGTTAAATAGCAATACCTGACGTTTGTTGACATAGACTTTGACGTTTATTCAAAAGTATACAAATTCATATCAATTTATTGATAAATATAAATTAAAGCTGAAACATGTTTACGGATTATGTCGTGATTGCGTATAGCAGAGACAAAGAGGCAAGAAGACGAACAATAATCTGTCATAAGCCGAATTACTTTGTCGAAATTTGGCGACCCGGATTTCCTTGCAAGATTTCGACTTACAAAAAGGACTAGAGAAACATAAATTTTCTCCATTCAGGAAACTGAGCCAATCTTTTTGCTCTCTATTATGCTCTTGTTTTTACTGACCCACGATACTAACATCATTTCCTCATCTTTTGAGAAATGTGGAGCTCTTTTTTTAGCAATAGGAATAGACGTATATTTTTCTTCGCTGCAGAAGACCCTTACTTTTGGCTCATGATTATAGAAGTGATGCTAAAAAAGGTGGCAAATACGATGTGTAACAGATATGTACAAACTTAATTGTATTTTTAGCGTATTTTTTGACCTATGGGTTGATTAGACATTGCATTTACCACCTGCTTTACCATCCTTTCCATAATCAATTTCAATGCGAATTCCTAATGACGTTAATTATTATTATTTTTATTATTATTAATTATTATTATTGATGATTTACTCAAGGAATTGGCGAGTTATTATAATGGCAGAACAATCTATAAATAACCATAATTTGACAATTTTTATATTCAATGACCGCTGGTGCCTTTTGTATTTTTTGTGACGCGAGCCTCTGGTAAATTTTCCACAGTTTATGCACATACTTTTCAAAATTTCATCTAATTTTCAATATTCACTATTGGGACAACTTCTTATAAAACAAGTCATTTACAATAAAGACTTTTATTTTGCAAATAACATTATTTTGATTACGTATTTCTCCCAAAAAAGTACAATTTGGCAACAATGGACAGCATTTGAATTATCTGTCAAGAAATGAACGTAAAATGGCCAGTGAGAATTGTTTCTACTTTCAAACATTTCATATAAACGCAAGAACTTCGATCTCATTAAAAATACGCGAAAAAAAAAATGGTTAAGAAATTTCAAGACACGCAACACCTTTACGCAGTTTATCAAGTAAATGCCATAATTTACGGTACGTATCTTGAACTATTATTTTAGCTTATTACACGGCTAGTTTTGAACCTTTTTTTGCAAAAACGACGTTTTTTATATTTTCACATCTATTCTCCTTGATCATTTCTACTGATTTCTTCAATTTAAAAAAAAACACGAATTTTGGTCTTACAATTAAGGTATGTATTTGAAACTGTCGTTTAAGTTTATTAGACGGCTAGTTCTTAACCCTTTTCTTAAAAAAACCAACGATTTTACAGTTTCACATACTATTTCCCTTGGCACTATACAGTGTATGTTTGTCTTCAAAAATGCATCTTTGAAGTTCTATAAAATAGCAAGCAGGGGGTTCCTTAAAGAAAAAATGATATTTTTGTAAAAGTTACATCCTAATCTTCCCTTTTAAAATAAGAAATGAAATATGCGATATGCGCTTAAAGTATAGTCTTACCGAGTAAACTATTAAACATTCGTACATGCAATGTTTGATAAATTTTACCTTGCTTGACGAAGGTTCTATTCAAATTTCAACTACTTTATGAAATTTCATCAAAAAAAGACAAGCTATCATGCATGATAGGTATGACGGTATGACACAAGATACACACGCCGAACGCACAAAACGCAACGGACATGATATCTAAGAACCACAGATGCAGGGTTGAAACATAAATATAAAATGATGAACTTCTGATTTAGTTAACTGGCGCTAACAAAATACTTGAAAAAGCGCAATTGCAGGCTATTACAGGTTAACTTCCTGGTTTTAGTTAACTTACCAGAAAGTTAACTTGCGATTGAAAAACCGGGCTTTAAAAGTGACTATTCAAGTACACAGAAAACTATTCTATTGTATTTTGTAAGGGCATCGTTTCTACAATCAATACAAAAACAAATAGTAAAAACTCCTTTTTACCCAAATTACGTCTGAACTTAATTTTACTCGCTTTGAGCCATTGACCTGGTTATTGAATGTAGAACAAACAAGTTAAGAACGCTTCTAGAATAATCTCCTTTGTGACCCAAAGAGATCAAAGGGCGCATTCCAGAACTGCGAATATTGAAATGTTCATAAATAGAACGCAAAAGAATGCAGTTTTATTCCAATTAAAAGAATTAACGCTTCAAAGACGTCTGCGAATTCATTCCTAAAGAATTTCTCTTGCTTTGGAATGCGGAAATTCTTAGTACGGATGTGTACAAAATAATCTATTCCAGAGCCAGAAGTATATGCATTTACAGATTCATTTGATAAATACCAAAATACACATCAAGAGTTGTCAGTATAGGTAATAGAACACGTTCTTCTAGCTATTCTATCCCCTCATTTTCAAGAATTGGGTCCCAGACCGCTATCTCTGTCATTTTGCAGTTGTGTACGTAATAAGGGTGCTGTTCTATATATAAAGTGTCAAAACAAGGAAATAATCCCACGTATTATAACTCTCAATCCCTTTTTGTTTGATCTGAGTCTGATCCGATTATCCGCAAGTGAAGGGTCCGACGACACGGCGACGACGAAAAGAAAAATCACCCCCACCCACAGGACCCCCGAGGCGACGATTTTTATAGGGAAAGTGAAAAGGCGCCGGAGGAAAAGTTGACTAGTTCGGTGCCGTCGGTATCATCGAACTTCTGCATGATTAATTGTCGGAAAAAGAAAAGGCAGGCGCTGAGAGGAAATGGCTGGATCTGCGGGGGGTGGAAAAGTTTGAGGCTGCGATGAAAAAATACGGCACCAGATGTCACGGGTGCGAAGACTTCTGATGAGTTGTTCTGATTTTTCATTTGTTCGCTAATAACCTTGAGTTGCACATACCATGGAAGGTAGATCGCGTAAAAAAATTAGTCGTATGTGAGAAAATAATTCTACACAAAGATCGGTTCTTTGAGAGCGGAGTCATTAGGTCATAAAGGATTACGTTCGGCACAAGTTAGTCCCTCTGAGCTAGTCACAAACAAGTATAACAAAAAAATTACGTGTCATACTAGCCCTATCTCAGAGAAGTTGGCCCAACGCTTCAAAACATGATATTTGTGAATTTATTTGAGGGCTGATTGAACATTTTATTTCAAATATAATATTTTTGTTTTATTCAAATGTTTGTGGAAAGATAACAAAACTGACGCGGCTATTTTTAAAGCGTCTCTTTATTCGCTTCGATAAAATAAACGTAGGCTTTGTAAAACAAATGATAACATTTTACATTGCTAAGAAGCTGATTTTTGACGTTTAAATCAACTTTCAATGCATTGGTGTTGTTGTTAACAATTAAAAATGGCTTGCGGTAAGCTATTTCTGACGAAATAAGGAAAGTGATAATTCACTCGCATTTAAAAGGTCAGATCCCAAATCGCTGACAGTGTTAACAAATAGAGGTATACAGTTCGAAATATTATGAAATTGTACAAAACAACTGGATCTGTGGCTCAAAAACACAGAACTGGAAGTCTTCCACGTTATTCCAATACCAACTTATCAAGGAAAATCGGCGTGCTAATTATAACGAATTGAAAATATATCGAATCAGGCAACCACAAAACAGTTTTCAAGAACAGAACTGTCGAAAAACTAGAATTTAAAATTTACAAGGTAGGCTTAAATTATTTTTTTATTATTCGTTTTTAATCCTGTAATTCTAGGCAAAAGAGAAGCCCTTACTGGCAAAGATTCAGAAGAAAAACAGACTAGCGTGGGCCAAAAAATACAAATTATGGTCTCCGAACCAAAGGAACTCCATCATTCAGAGTGATGAAGCCAGATTTGAAGAAGTATTTCAGAATGACTGTCTTATAAATAAAACAAGTTTCCGGCTTCTGTTATGATTTTGGGAACCATGCCAGCATATAGAGCGGGAAACTTACACTTTGTGGAAGGTGTTATGAATTCTGATAAGTACATTAATGCATTTAAACAATGTTGAATGTATCTTCCAACAAGATAGTACCGCTTGCCATATGGCTAAAAAAGTAAAAGATTGGATGTTAGAAAACAATATTTCAGTTTTAAAATGCACGCCGAGTAGTCCAGATCTATCGCTGATTGAAAAGGCAATGTAACGCAGTGGTGATTTTCTACTATTTTATTTTATATTTATTAATCGGAAGTTTTTTTGAATTTGTAAGATACTTTTTCTTAGTTACAAAAAAATTTAGTATTTTAGGTTAATATTGTATAAAAATATCGTACGTTATCAGAAATATATTTTAGTTTTTAATACGTTTCCACTAATATGATAAATTTCATAAAAAACGTAGATGGGCCAACTTCACAGTGAGACGACTCGTATAACATCCAGAAAACTTGATATTTCGATTTTGAAATTTTTTTTGACTACAACACTCCCTCGCCAATAGGTGTGAGAATTTCCAGCACGTCCAAGAACTCCGTCTTGCGAATATTTTATAATTTCTTTTTTTGTAGTAACACATTTTTTGGAAAATCTAAGTGAATACTTGTATGTTATGAAAACGAACAATCTAGCATCAAATCCGTAATTTCAAACCAATGAAAATAAAGCATACAATCTCAGCAACTGGTGTATACCTTTGTTAAAATAAA